CCCCCTGACCCACTCAAGACTCCTTTTGTTACCAGACAGCAGTTCCAGTCTTGGTCAAACCTTTTGTGAAAGCAAGTAAAAGAAAAGGAAGAGGGATAGACCTATGGAACATTTAAACAATAGGACTTAATTGAAAGGTGAAAGTACACACAGAAGGGTGCATAGGCATCCCCCATCAGGAAGAAGTGCCCTGTGGATCCTTAAGGGGAGGGTTTATATGTTGTTCTGGGACATGGGTGTTTCTCTGTCTTAAGGGGAGGAATATTTGGCCATGGGGGAAGATCTAGGGTAATTAAGGCCTAATAGGTTGACGTGAAATTGCATCAGCTTCTGGTCACACATCCCTGAGTTTCTGAAGTTTTTGGTCCTGCACAGTGGCCTTTCTGGTCTAGCATCATGGGTGGAAGTTCGTACAGTGGCCGTCTGCACTTTCATTCCTCCTAGTGTGCAGGTGCTGTGGTTTTTGTAATCTGCAAAGTTCCAGGTGTAGCATGCTGATTGGTAGAATGGTTAAACTGTCGTCAGCTCATTATGGGTTCATTAACTGACAAACAAGAAGATTGCTAGTGCCAATCCAGTCTGAATATTCATGAGCAGCCTCCCTGGGGCGTGTTCCTATTCTGTCCTGCCACACTTTGGCAATCACACAGGGACAGAGCTCCAGATACCCCAGTGTGGTGACAACAATGTGCAGTGTTACCTTCATCCTTCCAGTGAGGGGTATCTTGATTTGATTTATATTGAACACAGTAAAGCCTCATTAATTCAGGCTCCATTAACCATAAATTGGTGTAACTCAGATAGTTAATATTTACTTCTCACATCATTTCTTCAAAAATAGGACGAAGTTTGGTAATGTAGTTGTGATTATAAAGATGATTAAAACATTTTAAAAGATTTCAAGTCAACTCACATGGCTTTAGAAACACTCATTTATATGTAAATAATTATCCATTCCTTACAAATATTTTGTAATTTGTTCATTTCCTAAAAAACTGTAATAGACAATGCTGCTGATCTACTTCTAGGCAATAATGGAATGACAATAATAGCAACAGTAAATATTTATTGAGAGCAATAAAATGTTTTTTATACACATGTAATGTGAAGAATCAAAAACTTAAAAACAATTCTAAAAAATTACATTATTGGATTTGGTCAAAATGCATCCAGAACAGGAAGTCCACTAAACCCTGTATTTGTATAAAATTATGAGTCTTGAATTCTGTTGTGAAGCTTTACTGCCAGAATTCATTTGAGGAACATCTAGAAAGACAAATTGTGTGTGGGGCGGGGAGGGGGTAGGAAATACTATTTGCCTATTAAAGGCGGCTATATTTTAGCCTAATTTGGAGCATATCACTTGGATTTCCTTCTATCCCCCAATGTTCACTAAATGTTGTTTAAAAACTGAAACTTGAAATGCAGGAACAAAATGGAAATTTCAAGCCAAGTTTGCTTTTCTCCATAAAGGCATTTTGTGCTACCCCATCACGTTAATCCTCAGAATATTTGTAACCAATATTTGTGAAATTATTTAATGTTTTGAGATTATCACCACAATAGGTCTACCTGTTTGTATGTTCAGGTACACATGTGAAATTAAAAGAAATCAATCCCTTGGATTTGTCAAGTGGATTTACAAGATATTGAAATATATTTAGGTTTAAGTGACATAGTTCTGGTAAACTACTAAGGTGTTTTAACTTTTAATATAACCGTATTGATTTATTTCATACAAAGAGCCTCTCTTTCCTTTCAGATCCATCATTTTTTATAGATAACTTTTCCTTTAACTATAACATATTCAATTAATTCGTGATGGCCTCCAAACTGGTAAATCAAATGCTCCCATCTAGAAAGAAATCAAACATTACTTTAATGCATACAGGTCAAAATTATCACTTCATCAATAAATGCTAAATTTAAAATGCAGTCTCTAGAGCTGGCCCATGGCTCACTTGGGAGAGTGTGGTGCTGAAAACACCAAGGCCATGGGTTCAGATCCCTGTATAGGGATGGCCGGTTCGCTCACTGGAGAGCATGTTCCTGACAACACCAAGTCAAAGGTTAAGATCCTCTTACCGGTCATCTTTTTAAAAAAAAAATTTAAAAATTAAAAAAAATTTTTTTAAATAAAATAAAATGTAGTCTCTAAACATTTCTTTACACGAAGTCAACAATATTTGGGCTTTTTAAAAAACAGTGTTGTACATAACTAACTGGTCTATGATAAAGCAAACATTGCTTAATAACATTATTTAAGTACTCGATCTTAAAATATTTGCTTCATTAAGTGACGCACAGATGGTAACATCAGCATTATTTTCAAAAGAGGATGGTTTCTGACCATGGGGAGGAGAATTTCAGCACTGCCCTACTCTGTTGAACATGAGGACCAAGAGCTGTGAGAGCCTCTCGAAGGCCAAAGAGCCACAGGATTTACAACTTTTAGATTTAGAACAATGAGACCTAAATGGTCTCATTGGAGGCCCAAGTGGCAACAGACGGTGGGTGAGTAATAAGAAACAGGAACGGAAAAACCAAGTTAAGGCTTTTTGGATACAGTGAAATCAGAGAGGAAATAAATCACAACCAGGGTAACAAGCTAGAGTTGGGAGGAATCAGAAGATTGAAAGCTGAGCAGAAAAACAAAAACACATGCCAAAGGGCACAAGTTCAAAGTCCAGGTAAACAGAACAGGAGCCTGGAAATCTATGAAAGAGGTAGGACAGATGAAGAGACCTGAAAGCGTGGTCTCCCCTGTAGTTTAGGACCTGTAGGTAAACTTTCTAGTTAGAAAAAGGTAGAGAGGGGATTGGGTAATTTCTAAGCCTAGACAGAACCTGATACTAATAATTAGCAGAAAACGGATTTAATCCTCATCTACATATTACAGTGGACATAAAATAAAATAGCTAATTGGGAGAACACTCACCTAGATGCATTGATGATAATGAGATCTCCCCGTTTGCCAACTTCCAAAGATCCATGTGTGTGAGATTTCCCCAGCGCATAAGCTGCATTGATGGTGGCAGCGGCCAAGGCCTCAGGCATGGACATTCTCATGTTTACACATGCCAGATGCATGACCATCGGCTAAAGCAGGAAGAAAAAAGCATTTGAAGAAAGTAACACATGGCAACTGCTACTTAGGCCACTTGTCCACACAGCACAACAAGCACAGGTAGTTAAATGTATAGGTGGAATTGGCTAACTTGCTATGGGAAAAATCTTAATTTACACATAAAGGTTCTTGTGTTTTGGAAAAGACCCCTTTATTATTGTTTTTAATATTTATTTACAACTTTTCAAAACCACTTATTGTGTGAGATGAAGCTTATTTCCACCTTTATGTATTAAAACCTCTTTGAGTTTATGCTATTCTCTGAAGAGAGAAAGTGGATTATTATAAAACCATAATGCGCAAGACTGAATCAGAAAATAATGCAAACAGAAACTTCTCTCCTCTCTCTATGCCTAGAGGCATTTATGTGGTGCAGAAAAATCCAAGTATACTACTGTCTACATCTTTTTTTCTTGTTTCACAGGAAAATATTTTTAGATCTTTTATACATTTTTAACAGCGAGTGAAATCTTTTAAAATTATTTATATGCCTGGTAGATACCCTGCTCAGAAATTCACATGAAAAAATAATTACCATTGAAAAGCAATATGCATTAGGGTTGAAATCACTGCCCAGAGCAACTATTACCCCTTCATCCAACATCTTTCTGGCTCGAGGCTGCTTCAGTCTAAGGGGAGGAAGAAAAGATGTCAGTCTCTAGAGTTGGAACTTTTGCAGAATACATGTTCAGAATGGAAGAGAACTTGAGACGTCTAACGCTTTCATGTTCTGGAAGAAGAAACAAAAACTCAAGGGTAAGTGATTAATGGTGGAGTTAGGTAGAACTCCAGGACTCTTGATTTTTACCATTCTGCTTCTGAAACTAGCGGAATATGACCAATTTGTTTAATTTATGATTGTTTATCTCAACAATCTTTATATATTCGGAGATTCTTGCTAAAAAAGAACAATGTAATTTACAAATAGTTTTCGAATTTAATAAACATTTTTGTGATTCCCAAATTAACCAGTTATTGAGGTTAGAATAAAACTATTTTGTGCCAGCCCATGGCTCACTTGGGAGAGTGTGGTGCTGATAACACCAAGGCCACAGGTTCGGATCCCATATAGGGATGGCCGGTTGGCTCACTCGGGAGAGCGTGGTGCTGACAACACCAAGTTAAGATCCCCTTACCGGTCATCTTTAAACAAACAAAAAAAAGAATAAAACTATTTTTACTAATTTCCATTTTGCAGTTTTCTATTCATCTCCCCCCCCCCCTTTTTTTTTAGGTTTAGGTTTCAAACATTTTTTTAGGCTCTTTAAAATCTTGAAGGCCCAAGAATCTAATGTGTAAAATTCCGTTTTTCTTCCTGGAATAGGCATCTCCCTTACCTCCTTGGTGAAATAGTCTTTGTAATTTAGGACATAACTCAAAAGTTATGTCAAAGATAAACAATACCAGATAATTTCCATTTTGCGGTTTTCTATTCATCTCCCCCCCCCCCTTTTTTTTTAGGTTTAGGTTTCAAACATTTTTTTAGGCTCTTTAAAATCTTGAAGGCCCAAGAATCTAATGTGTAAAATTCCGTTTTTCTTCCTGGAATAGGCATCTCCCTTACCTCCTTGGTGAAATAGTCTTTGTAATTTAGGACATAACTCAAAAGTTATGTCAAAGATAAACAATACCAGAAACTAGTTAAAGTGATGAGGACAGATTTAATTCAGCACTAACTATTGCAATAGGGAAAAGGGTCCGGCGTGAACTGAACTGAACTTCACTATGTACAGCAGAAAATGGGCATTTTAAAGGCAGAATAAGGAAGTAGGGAGAGAAAATGAGGTAGGCGGGCTCAAGCAGAGTCAGGGAGGTAGAAATTCCCAAAAAGCAGAAGAGGGGTGGTCAATGTGATCCAGGTTTGTTAACTGGCACTTGTCCGGAGGAGAAACAAACTACTCCTATCTTATGACAGGAGGCAGCGGAGTAAGTTCATGCAGGAAGCCCCAGGCTGGGAATAGGAGCCAGAGGCCTCTTGTTGAATATCTGCCTTTCAAAGAGATGGTTCTCATCTTGTCTTGAGAAGACAGTTTCAGGTGGAAGAAGATTGACATTTCAAAGGGGCAGGCTTATCATTGCAAGCTTTTTAAAGCAACTACTCTAAGAGGGGGTTCAGGGTCCTATCTGCCTATCAACAGGTTTTGGGCTGGAACAAACAGTAAATTCCCCTGGCAGTGTTGAGCTTTCTCAGGCAGGCACTGTAAGGGGTTGGGGGGCCTCCTAGAGATGCAGCTTTGAGCAGTTAGAAACTATGCTAGTGTTTGCCACAGTCTCTCAGTGATGGAGATGGAGATGGGATGGGGAAGGGATGAAACTGTTTGTGCTAACAGTCTGCAGCTTTTATAGCCCAAAGTTGAGGCTTAATCTAGAAGAGGGCTCAGAGGACCCTGTCTAGAGTTTGATCAAGGTGAGAATCTTTGTCAGTTACCTCCTCTGGGAAGGCTTCCCAGCCACCGCTATTGGCCACCACTTCCTCTGGCCTCCATAGCACTCTACTCCTGCATTTAGCCCTGGTAATGCTAGACAGCTATTGTTTCGTGATAACGACCAGACCGATACATTATGGAGCAGCACTGTCTGCTGGTTGTTCCATCCAGAGCGTAACCCTGGCCCCTCCCTTGACATCCCCTTCTACCTCTGGCCATATATCCATTTGATTGGTCAGTGCCCTGGCTAAGCCAGCTGTTAGGTGTTTAGACTACAGCATCTGCTTCTACTGCTGGGAAGCCCAGCAGAGGCTAAGGATCATGGAAAGGACCATTTCTTTTTATTATAATTTATTTTTCCTAGGGCCTAGCCCTGTTTCTGGGTAATTAATATTTTTGCTTGAATGAATGAATGAATAATACTATTATATCCTACAAGTGTACTGAATGTGGCAAAGAATAGAATAAGTTTATAGCTATGCTCCAACTACATGGGTCTCATTCATGTTTTAAATGAAGTCTACCTAAGTGTGGCATTCGAGGGCCTCTGCAAACTGAGCACAACCTTCTTCAGGGTCTGATTTCTTATCACTGCCCTACCCAACACTGCACCCTAAGCACTGGGGTTTTCTCTTTGAACATTTCTGAGTTTGCCATTCTCCTTGCTTAGAATATCCACCTCTCCCTGAAAAGCATTTGTACTACCAGCCCCAGCTCACACCTCACCTATCCGTGTCACCCAGCCAGAAGAGACAGCCCTTTTCAGAACTTCTACAGTTCTTACTGTCTACTCATGTGTCACACTTCATGCACTTAGACTGCAAGTTCCTGAAGGCAGGGCCATGTCTGTCTTACTCACCACTGCATCCCAGCTCCAGTACAGTGCCTGGCATAATAGCTGCTCAGTAAAAGTTTGGTGAAAAAATTCTTCAATTTTTTTATTATTATGCTTTCATTGCATTCATGTTTTATTTCATCCCCAAAATACAGGGACTTCTTTGTAGTTTCAATGGAAGGAGTATAGTATCTTACATACAGTGCTTAATAAAACTTGCTGGGTCATTAATTCAGCCATTTATTCAAAAAGCACCCAAGTAGTGTGTACTGTGTACCAGGCACTAAAACCTTAAAGTCATCCTCTACTGCTCTTTTTCTGTCATGGTCTATATCCAATCCATCAGAAAATCTTGTCGGCTCCACCTTAAGACTATGCTGTAGATTGAGTGTCCCCCCAAACTCGCTGAAGCTTAATTCCCACCGTAACTGTTGAGAGTGGGAAATCCTATTGTAGTAATTGAAAGGTGGGGCCTTGAAGAGATGGTCTCGGCTCCACCTTAAGACTATGCTGTAGATTGAGTGTCCCCCCAAACTCGCTGAAGCTTAATTCCCACCATAACTGTTGAGAGTGGGAAATCCTATTGTAGTAATTGAAAGGTGGGGCCTTGAAGAGATGGTTAGACTGTAGGATCATGCCCTAGTGCATGGATTAATAATGGTGGTCATAGGTGTGGTTCTGAGGGCTTCAAAAGGAGAGCACGTGTGAGCCTCTGTCTCTCTGCTCTGCCATTCTGCCGTGTGAGACCCTGCATCACTGTCACCATCAACAAGGCCTTCACCAGACATGTTTCCTGGACTTTGGGCTTCTCAGCCTTGGAAACTGTAAGCAAGAAATATTGTTTCTTTACAAATTACCCAGTTCCAGATATTTTGTTATAAGCAACAGAAATGGACTAATACAGACTACATCCAGAATCCAGATAATTTTTATTCCCCCTGCTACCACCATAGATGCAAGTCACCATCATCTCTTGCTGGGATATTTGCAAGACCATCCTAACTGGTTACCCTGCTTCCACCCTCACTGCTACAGTTTGAATGTGTCCCCCAAAGTTCATGTGCTGGAAACTTAATCCCCAGTGCAACAGTGTTCAGAGGTGGAACCTTTAAGAGGTGATTAGGTCCTGAGGGCTCTGCCCTCATGAATGGATTAATGCTGTTATCGTGGGAGTGGGTTCGTTAGCACAGGAGTGGGTTCCTGAAAAAAGGATGAGTTTCGCCTCTTTCCTCCCTTCCTCCCTTTCTCTCTTCCTCCTCCCCCTTCTTGCTCTCTTGCCCTTCTGCCTTCTGCCATGAGATGATGCAGCAAGAAGGCCCTCACCAGATGCCAGCACCTTGATATTGGACTTCCAGCCTCTGGGACCATGAGAAATAAATCTCTGTTTTTTTATAAATTACCCAGTCTCAGGTACTCTATTATAGCAGCACAGAACAGACTAAGACAACCCCCCACCCCATACTTATTCTCTATATAGCAGCCAGAGGGAGTTTTTAGAAAAATAAGTCAGATCACGTCATCATGCTGTTAAAAAATGCCGCAATGGCTTCTCATGGGCTTCCAGTCCACGCCATCAACTCAAAGCCATACAAAATCTGCTCCTCCTTCTGATCTCATCTCCTGTGCTTTTCCTTGCTCAGGCCTCTCTGGCCTGATTCTTGCTGTTCCTCAAACACAGCCAGTGTGTTTCAAGCACTGCACATGCCATCCGTCTGTGCAGACACTCCTCTAGACATCCTCACTTCTTCCCCTAGTGTGGCTCACTCCCTCACTTCCTCTAGGTCTCTGCTCAAACACCCCCTCACCAGAAAAAACACAGCACCCTGCACCCAAATGCCGTCTACTCTCTTGATTTACATTGATGGCTTCTTCATAGCACTTAGCACCACCTGACATTTTATACCTTCACTTATTTGTCTGCACACTGTCTCCCTCCATTAGACTGTGAGCTCCATGCGGACAAGGACTTCATTGTTTTATCTGTTGCTGCAGCCCCAGTGCTCAGAACAGCACCTGGCAACCAGTAGGCTGCAATACGCATGTGGATGGGTCGACTACTAAATTATGAGGGGTGCAGAGATGATTCTTGCTCTGAAGCATTCCCAGTCTATGATCGACAATTTGCAGGACCACTTAAAATGTTTCCCAACTATTACAATGTGTGAGAGGAAGGGAGAAGCAGAGATAGAATGAGGAAAGGGTACAGCTTCCAATTTCCCTGCAGGTCATTCTGATGGCCTCCCCTCCCCTTCCAGAACTACTTAGAGGTTAAAAAAAAAAAGAGGCCGTGTAAGTATTAAGGAAACTCCATAAAAACTAAGGTGAATATTTCCTGAATTTAAATATTATATGCAAGTATACATAAAATACATGATTAAAGGAAGCCCTTAGGTGGTGTAAGGCAATGGTTATTCTAGAAATGAGAGCCAAGAGAGAGTTCAGGATACATCAGGGGGCCTTGCAGTTCTGTCCTAATGGACAGATCAGAAAAATGTTGGCCCAGAGAAGCCAGGGAAGAGACTGTGGCTTTTTCTTTGACCACTCTTGTCATCCAAATGGGACACTAAACCTATCTGTGGTGATGGCAGATGACAGCCACCACTGGCATAGGAACAAAGTTCAGACTTTTAATGCTGACCTGCCCTTCAGGACCACAAAGTCTCAGATTTTTGTTCCATGTTAAGAGATTCAAGGCAAGTTAATGGAAGAGTTTTTTGCTTGTTTTTCTGTAAAAACTTATTCCTTGGGTGGTGGAAAATTAACCAAATTAAATATTGCTCGACATTGATAACTATTGAGATTTGTAAGAAAAGTCGGTCATACAGGGAAAAGTTACTGACATTTCCTGACTGTAGTCTACATTGTGTTTATTTAAGAGAAGAGTAATAATAGTAAAAGTGTGTAATATCATACGTGTATATAAAATCATAACAAATTTGGGAAAAGTACTGTAATATTCCTTTCTTCTCCCTTCTAAAAGTTACTCAAAGCCTGGCCTTTTCGGCCTCAGCACAGTTCATGTCTGGGGATGGATAACTGTTGTGTGGGGCTGTTCTGTGTATTGTGGAATGTTTAGCAGCATCCCTGGTCTCTACCCACTAGGTGCCATAGCATCCCCTAGGTGTGACAGCTAGAAATGTCTCCAGACATTGTCAAATGTCCCCTGGGGAACAAAATCACCCTGGGATTGGGAACCACTGTCCTAAAGCTATAACTGCAGAATCCAATCACCCTCCCCAGAAGGCCATGTATCCTGATCACACAGAAAGCACACAGTCCTAAGAGAAAATAAACTGCCTCTTGAATGATGACCTTCCAGACCACAGACTCGGCAGCTGACGTGTAAGTGGTACGAAGAAAAGAGTAGAAGACCTCAGATCCCATATTTGGTAGAATTAGAGCACAGAAAGCACACAGTCCTAAGAGAAAATAAACTGCCTCTTGAATGATGACCTTCCAGACCACAGACTCGGCAGCTGTCGTGTAAGTGGTACGAAGAAAAGAGTAGAAGACCTCAGATCCCATATTTGGTAGAATTAGAGCAACAACAGTTATAAAGATGGACCAAGTTATTCAATTCGTAGCAGGCACCCAGCAAAATCTCTGGGAAGACTTTATAAAGCATGCTTATACAAGGTACTTTGAAAAGTCATGGAAGGATTCCTATTATCTTCTAGTTACATTTTTCCACGTAGTTTTTGAAGTACCCTCGTATGTCTCCTCTTTCCTCCTACCCCCAGGATTTATGAGGAGCCTGGTACACAATTACAGTACCCACTAGCCTCCTCTTAGAAAATGGCTCATTCAGATTCTGAGAACTGCTAAATATCCCTCACATCTTATGCATGTTTTTATTTTTATTTATTTATTCTCTTAAAAAGATGACCGGTAAGGGGATCTTAACCCTTGACTTGGTGTTGTCAGCACCACACTCTCCCAAGTGAGCCACGGGCCGGCCCTTATGCATATTTTTAAAAGTATAGAGCCTACTTCACTATTTTCTACTTATAAAAGTCATGCATATGGATTTTTTTAACTGAAAAATTCCCAAATCTGGGAAAAAAAGAAAAAGAAGGCTCAGCCTTCCTTAATAACCCCACCACTCAAAGGCAATTTAGTTCTAAGCTCCTTCCTCGGGGTAGCTCATTTATGTACATCAGTCCAGAGTTGGCATCTTCATGAGCTAAGTTTCCTTCATCTGCACTTTTAAGAGATTTGCAAGGGTCATGAAGTAATGTTTAGGCACCTCGGCAGTCTGTGTCTTCACAGCTTGCCCTTACAGCCCTTGTGTTGGGGGCGGGGAGAAAGGACCTTACCTCAGCATGTAGGCCGTGGTGGGCAGAAGGACAGCAGAGCACCTGGCCATGGCCATGGCAGCAATGCCTTTGTCACTCACTTCCTCCAGGTGGCTGATTGCCTGGGCTCCCAGTTCTGCCCCAAGCTAAGCAGAATGGACAGACAGGGAAAGATTTGACCAACGGCACAAAAAATCAATAAAGTAACATCAAATGGTTTTTCCTACCAAAAGAAACAGCTCTCTTTCATTAAGATTTCTTGTCAACTGCCTCTTATAAGCACAAGCCACCAAATGGGTAATTTTATGAATCTTATGGATCAGAACACAACTTTGAGTAATATGGGTCATAAAACCTCATTATATTATATCCTAACCAAAATGCAATCAAGAAAGATATTTTGGAATGTCATTGTACTCAGTGAAAACAGATCAGATAAGAGAATAAACTTTAAACATGTGGAATCATATGTATAATTTGAGAATATCAGCTTGAAGTTGATATTTTTCCAGATGAAAAGTTCGAGCTAGTTTGTTAGAAGAAAACGAAGAAAAGGACTGCCGTGATCACAGAAGCACTGCGTTAAAGCGGATCTCTTCTCAGCCTAGTCTCATCATCTTCTTTGTCCCTAACTGGACGAACTTTCAGACACACGCACACCAAGTGCCCCAGGCTGAAAGGTGACATGATAGGCATTCCAAGGAAAGGAAAGCAGACTGATATTTGGTGACACTCTATGGCCCATGGAGGTTGCAATGCCCAAAACCAGGGCAGGGAAGAGCCAATCCCTTCATCAGCAGCTCGCTCATGTCCAAGAGTATTTTGGATCGGGGCTCTGGAGAGTCTGGGGCTCCACAGCATAGATTATGTTCCCAGAGCGAGTTTCTTCCTGACCTTGGGATCACCCTCACTGTTCCAAACTTGATTTGCTCATTCTCTTGATTTAATCCACCAGTTTCTCTCTACTACCAAAAGTATCTTGTTGACCACCCACTTTACATTCATTCAACAAACATTCAACAAATACTACAGGCCATCTGTCCTCCAGGCATTGTGCTAACCTCTACGGGTAGGGCTATGCAAGGCGGGGGCGCAATCCTCAGTGTGTTTCTAGCCCAGTAGAGGAGGCGACTGTAACCCAGTGGGGTCAAGTGCAGGGAGAGGCCATAACCCACTGTTGGAGAGGTTTGGTAAGGAGTCCCAGATAGCTAAGACGAAATATGGAAGGGAACTAGAATTAGCCAGAAAAAGGGGAGATCAGATTAGAGAAAGAGCATCACAAAGGGATGGGGTGTTGACAATATTTTACTGTGGCTGTTTCATGGTAGAGAGGCTGGAGGAGAGGAACAAGGGTGGGGGGAGATGGCGTGATAAGCAAGGGCTGGATCCTGGTAAGCCATGGATGGAGTCTGGACTCTTTCCTAAGAGGAATGCTAAGCCTTTAAGTGGTTTTAAGCAATGGAGGGGAAGGATATGATGCACTGAGGGAACGGATTAAAGGAAGGGATTGAAGTGGAGGCAAGACTGGAGGCAAGAAGAACAGCTGTTGCAGGAGTCCAGGTGAGAGCTGACGGTGGTTGAACCAGGCAGTGAGGTGAGAGAAGTGGAAGAGGACGTGGTGGTTGGTCAAAATGTGGTAGGTGAGGGGGAGAGGGGAGTCAAAACGATGTTCAAGTTCTTGACTTAGGCAACAGACAGGTGAGGTGGATGATGTCATTCACTGGGGCAGGAAACACAGGACAAAATTTAGAAGTGACATTAAGAGATCAAGCTGTTTTTTTCACTTTCTTTTTTTTTTTTTGGTGACTGGCTGGTACGAGTATCTAAACCCTTCACCTTGGTGTTACAAGGCTGTGCACTAACCAACTGAGCTAACCAGCCAGCCCTCAAGTTGGACATGTTGTGGGTGAGATGCACATGGGGTATCGGCATCTGTATGTATGCCCCAAGGGCAGTTGTTTATTTAGCTCCAGGGCTTTGAGGACAGACTTCTAGACTCACGACTGCAGAGACTTTGTCTTATTCACTGCTGAATTTTCAACACCTGGAACAGTGCCTGGTACATAACAGACACTCAAACATTTGTTGAAAGGATGAATAAATGAATCTGGGCAAGAAATACAGATTTGAAAATCATCCCATGGCTAGTAATGATGTGTTCCACCAAAACTGGTCTGGACGCTGCCACAGAAAGATCCTAGAAGCTACATGTGAAATTAATGTACTATGTTAGTGTGTGTGAAATTCATACACTATGCTAATGTGGCTTTGTGTGCCAACTAAAATATTTTGTGGATTTAGTAAATGAAACCACAGACAGACATCTTTTTCTACTAATATTACCAGCAGATGATAACAAAAGCAAATGGTCAGCAAAAATGTAAGTTTCTAATAGTGGTCAGGGTTTCCAAGACTCAACCAGACCAATGTGCTCACTGTGAAAGCAGATTTCCCCTTTTCAGAAGGCTACGCCTAACTATGAACAAACTAGTTAAGTTTTCCATAGCATGCGTGGCCAAGAATGAGCGTTGACCAAGGAAAAGCCAAAGTCAGCCCTACCTCAGCAGCCTTCATTGGGTGGAGTTCATCCCCATGGAAGTTAATCCGTAACCCCATCTCTTTTCCACTTTGAAGAATCCTTCTGGTGGAATCGAGATCAAAGACGCCCTCCTCACAGAACACATCTATATTGTCCACGTGGATCTCCCCGTGTCTGCAAAGCGCCTTCAGCTTTGGGAGGTGGTTACTGATGATGTCGTCAGCAGCTTCAGTAGCAGTTTTTCCTCTGAGGCAAGAAAATGAGATTACCATGGGCAAGTACTTTTTAAAAAATGGAGAAAGTTATTTGGTACTTGGAAAACCTGAGAAAAAGTACAGGTAAATGACCTGAAGCCTCAGAAAGGTAGAGAAAGAACTGAAGATATAACTCAGGACTTCTAACAACTGGGCCACGCCTACGCAGCAGGGGTATTGACATCTCTTCTGTATGCTCCGGTCCCATACACAGAGGCACAAATGGCTCATCCGTGCTCACACACCTGTGTAGCCTTTGGGGATGCCAGCAAGGCCACCTGCCTGAAAAGCTGAATCCTCTTGTCAAGGACACTCAGAGACAGCATCCTGGATGCTTCTCTGACAACCTATCTGTGGTCCCCTTACCTGGGCCCCAGTATCGCCCTGCCTTTTGCTTCCTCCACAATGTTTCCTGAAGCATTGGCCTTAGGCTTCTATCTCACCATCTGGGGACACAGGGGTAGCAGACTGTGAGAGGCCCTGAATCCTAAAATTCTGGGGTAGTTGTATATTAGAGAGGGCTGGGCTTCTAAAGTCAGATGGACATGGAGCTCTACCCCTTGCTGGCTACATAACTTCGGAGACATTATTTAGCTGTTATTTGAGCCTCAGGTTGTATCTATGGGGATCAAGATGCAGAGGCTCATTGGCAGACAGAGAAACTTTCTGCAAAACTTCAGCCTGTATTTGGCACAAAGAAGACTATCGCTCAGTAAAACCATTGAGGGGGTGGGTAGGGGTCAACTATGAGGAGACAGGCACTCACATAAATTATTTATAATTCTCAAGACAATCATAAAGAACAGGGTGTTATTTAGCTCTATTTTACAGATGAATAATTCATGTTCAACAAAGTTAAGTCACGCCCTCAGAATCACTCAGCTGGAAGTAGCTAAACTGGATTCAAACCCAGTTCTGGCATCAGTCCAAAGTCTAAGGCTTTTTCTGCCAGGCCAAGTTGCTTTCCCTACTGAAAAAAAAGCAGACTATCAAACACTTCATATGCTGTTTGAAAAAAGTCTACTGTTTTCTATAGACAGGATGTCTCAAAAGTCTCAGTGCAGTTTTAAGCTTTCATAATTCCAGAAATATAAATACTAAAAACTTAAAAAAGATCATTGGAGATATTTATGTTTCTTTTCTACATAATTAGCTTTGTAAATTTTGAATCATAAATTTTAATGTTATTTTTTCCAGTTCCTCTGATTTAAGATGGTAAATAAAATTTAACATTAAAAATTTATATTTCTGTACAACATGGTGACTATATTTAATAACAATGTATTGTATCGTTGAAAATTGCTGAGAGAATAGATGTTAAGCATTCTCACCACAAAAAGTGACGTGTGTGAGGTAATGCGTATGTTAATTAGCTCAATGTAGACATTTCACAAGGAATATGTATTTCAAAACAACATGTTATACACTATAAGCATATATAATTTTTATTTGTCTATTAAATAGATAAACTTGTATCTCGAAGTTCACAAAAATAAATATACGTAAAATAAATTTAAATGATTAAATTTTCAAATAATGTTTGTAAGTCTGTAGTATTTACATATCTGAGTTCTCAAAGCTTAAGACTGCACTAAGACTTTGGAGACATCCTGTACATGTTCAAGTCCTAGATTTACTTTGGATCTTTCAGTTCTGAAACTATGGGCCTTCCTATCTAAAAATTCCAGGAGCAAGGGCCAGCCCGTAGCTCACTTGGGAGAGTGCAGTGCTGATAACACCAAGGCCATGTGTTCAGATCTCTATATTGGGATGGCCGGTTGGCTCACTTGGGAGAGTGTGGTGCTGACAACACCAAGTCAAGGGTTAAGATCCCCTTAACGGTCACCTTTATTTTATTTATTTATTTATTTTTTCCTTTTTGTCTTTTTTCGTGACCGGCAACGGATCACAACCCTCAGTGTCGCGCCCGTACCGGACCAGGACCGGCAACGGGATCGCAACCCTCGGTGTTGCTCCCGCACCTTGCTCAGCCAGTGAGCGGCAGGTCTGTATGTGGGATCCGAACCCTCAGTGGGAGCGCCACCGCACTTCCCAAGTGGCACACTGCTACAGTGCGCCACCGGGTCAGCCCCTAACGGTCACCTTTAAAAAAAAATTAAATAAATAAAAATAAAAATTCCAGGAGCAAAAGGAACTCTGAACAGATAAGATGCAGGTGCAGAAGGGGACAGAATCCTCTACAGTAAAGCCATGTAGGAGAAATTTTCTGGATTAAAAAGGAAGGCTAAAAAACACAACAATAATACAAAAATGTTTTCTGTTAAGTAAACTAAGAGATGAACGAAAACAAAACCTTTCTGAGTCACCCAGACTACAAGGTTTGATCTATCTCCTACCAAGTGT